TATCTAAATCTGAATCCATTTTCTCCAATTTCAATAGTTCTTCCTTGGGCCAAATAAGTGACATGTGGCAATTTTCATTCAAATCGGGACATAAATGCTACCTGTACTTTGTTCACAAAAATACATGGACAGATGGACATACATAAATCGACTCAGAAAGTGATTATATACATATTCTCAAAAAGAAACCATGGGTCTATCTCTATTTCTTTTGCCTGTTACAAATATATGTACAAATATATAACACCCTGTACCACAGTGTAGTGAAGGGTTTAAAAGTGTGACTCGTCGAAATATTGATTTTAGACCCCATGTTTCGGACAATTTGGAGTCGATTTACAAGTGGTGGGCACAAAGGGAGTAAACGATTCCATCGAAACTTTGCACATCTTAATATTTCTTTGAAACTTAGTTTAAGTTTGAAGACATGGTCCACAAAGGTGAACAATTTCAATATTCATAAAGTCAATAAATGACCGAATTGAACTAAACTTTGCACAACCTATTATCATTACTAAGTCTAGATCAAGTCCGAAGATTCGACCCATTGGTCCACTCCTTCTGATACCTTCCTCACAAAAGGTCAATATTTTCAGTATTTATAAATCCAATATTAGGCGAATGGAATGTCCAATTTGAACCAAATTTCAAAACTATCCCGTTGTAGTAATTGGGTTGTATGATAGTTGTCTTTTTTATAACTGTATATCATTTTATATTGACAAACCTCTCAAAATAAGTGCAACAAATTGTTATTGGTTTATTTTACATGCACCAACATTGAAATACAAACGAGAACATATGAGAAAATCCCGCACCTCCTTTTTCATTCCTCTCCAATTCTTTATTCCCACTATACAGCATTGTGTAACAAAGGTGTGGGTATCATCTATAACACCATTTGCACAATTCACTATTATATTCAACACCAATGTCAACAACACCAACAACAAAATCGCCCCTTTGCAACACTATTAACAACTAACAGCAAACATCATCACTCACTCACTAACAAATACAACAACAACAAATTTTCGAAGTGGAAAAAAAGAAAATCCATCGATTTGAAAGGTATATTTGTTAAAATTCATGTCCATGTACAAACGGCATGTACTTTGTGAGTGTGTGCATATGTGTGAATGTATGTGAGAGGTGTCTAAATTTGTATTGGAATCATGATGAATATAAACAAAAATAAATCGAAGTGTCAATATTTTCTGACACAAGAGAATGAGATTGCATTGCTGTTGCGTTTTTTTAAGAGTGTACTTTTGTACTCACTCACCCCTTTTTTGGTTCCATCTGTTGCCCCTTATTGATGCAATAAGATCACAGTATCTTTTTCAATTTCTGTTCATGTACATAATAAACAAATGGACTAGTTGAAATTGTTTGAGAAAATCTGGAATGTGCAATATTTTGAATTTCATTTGCAATAAATATGAAATTTTGGAAGTCATATGTAATGGGAATCAGAAAGACATCCATCTGGAAATACTTTACAATTGATGACCTTCAATAGATTTCCTTCACTACAAAAATTATGTCCAGCTGCATATGATTTATTGGTTGACATGATCGCGTATTGAAAATCCAAACCAACCGTTTGATGAATCTTAGAAGTTTAGAATTAGGGGAAATTAGATTAAGCATCTTGATTTTCATATCCCTATGATTCTAGGAATTCTGGGTTTTTTTTGAGAATTCCTTCAGTCTTCTTCATTCACACACCCTCAGATCGTTTAGTCCGTAAATAGTGTCATATCCCAAGAATTGTTTTCGAAGGCCAGTAAATGCTGGGCAATGTCATAGGAAATGTTCCATCGTGTCACTGTCTTCCCCACACGCTCTGCACCAGCTGCCACCCTCGCTTGTGTAGATGTGACTTCAGGCTGAGGTGTCCCGTAAGAATAGTTTCGTCTTCACTTGGATCACCCCATAAAATGTTTGTGATCTTTTCTGTCCTCTTATTATCCCAAAGAATTTTGTGGGTCTCATTTCCAGGCGTGTTGCGCTAAAGGGCTTGGCATTACTCACATCGTTTGTGGGTAGTGCAGTAGCACTTCTAGCTAGTTGGTTGGCTATCTCGTTGTCTATTACTCCTGTGTGGCTCGGTACCCATATAATTCGTAAAGATCTTTGTTTAGTTTTAGATCTAACTGTTTTGGAGAATATTGCGTTTATTACTTGTTTGCTACCGCAATTATATTTGTTGTATTTTGTCATAGGACGTAGTTAAGACGCTCTGTAATAGCTTGAACCAACGCCTGTAAGATCGAGCTGTGTTCTGGAAGGCGAAGATAAATTGCTGTACTTGGTTCTTGAATAAAAAGTCCCCGTCCGGACTTTCCTCTTAGAAGGGAGCCATCTGTACAGCATCATGGGCACAAATGTACCAAGGTTACTGATATACGTATACTTTTAAGAAATTGGCCGCATTATCCAACAGAAAAGCCATTAATTTGGCGTTCTAATATCTTGGTAGATAAAAAAATATTCGTTGAAAATTTTCAAGATATATCGTCCTCATATCCACATTTTTAATCAGAAGATGCTACAATTCCGCATTCTGGGATTTGACATATCACCCTTATAAAGTTCTCGATAATTTTCTAAATGTGTAGCTCTCTATTCTGTAATTTGGCATTTAATTTTTTCGGTGTATATAAGCCTGGCCTATTGTACGTTCTTAAATGTGCGACTTATGGCGAAAGATGATCTTTTATGAATTTAAGGAACGGTCCAACATAGCCTTGGCTAGTTTAATTGTAATTCACTTCGAGGGTGATATAACGACTCTATAACTTTTCGATAACATTTTCGTTATAATATCAGTTTCTTCAGCAATCTTTTTATATCTAGGAATAGTCGCGGATGTCAGTTCTGAGAATATGGTGGTCACATAATACATTTGAAGCTCAATTCATCGTTCCACAGACCGTGTCTTTAAATTGCTATGATATAGAATCCTTTGGTTGTTGTCCCCCCGCGTTCGATAATTGTAAAATACCTACTAGTAGACATTTTTGAACATAGGTTCATGTTTTGCCATATACACCCCACCTATTATAAAGTATTATGTATTTTGGAAGCTGGATTTGGGATATCAGAATGTATCCGGGTTCTTAAATAACACTGGTTGCAGGATTTATAAATATACGTCCTTCTTTCAGCACCTCTTCCAAACAACGGTCCAACCGAGTGTATTTGTATACCCTACATAACAATATTGTCAGGGTATTATAGCTTTTTGCAGTCCCAAGAGTTTGTAACCCCGCGAAATATTGGTCCTAGACCCTCCTCAATGTATACGATTGTCATAACTTAACTAGCTGGGACGATCTGGACATGTGTGTACGTCCGTCAGTCCATTATAATTTGTAAACAAGATGCAGGCCACGAAATTTTTCATGTAGGTTAGGTTTTGGCTAATTTCTTTTGGACTAAATTCTTAATTTTTGAAAGTGGAGCTGTGGACCTATAATGAGGAAAGAGGTTGCCGATATTACGATATAGAACCGCAGAAAGTTAGATTTTCGTGGTAGTTGTTTAGAATATCGTATGGTCGGCCCCGTCCGACTATACTGCACCACTCACTCATTTTATATATAGATTTTTGAACCAAAACTGTAGTGGAGTTCTCCAGAGATTTGTTGTTGTCCAAATTTCAAACCATATGGCGGCAATTTGACATTTTACGGCCCGCCTTTTATTGGCTGCTTAAAAAAGAATTATCCAAATTAAGTTATTATAGAACTCTCAGTGCATACAAAACATTCTCAACAAAAATTTTTGTTCGATTGTAGGCATTTTGAACGTTCCATCCATAATTTTCAGATTGTAATTTATACAATTTATATTTGAAAAGCCCTAACACACGTTTTAAACAATAAATGGATGGAATACTTTTCTAAAACTATGAACCTATATACACCATTTTTTTCTGGACAAGGACAACACCTATACAGTCTACAGGTAACAATTGCAATCGGAACGCCTCGACATTTTATACAGGGGAAAATATGGTCATTTTATTGTCATTATATAACTAGATAAAACAAAAAAATCGAAAGGTTCAGTGGTAGTTTTGTATGGTATCAAATTATCGGCCCTGTCTTACTATACAGATGTGCTTACTACTCTTTTTACTTTTTGTTCGAAATATTTGTACTTTCTCACAAGGTTGGTTGGGATTGACCCAGGTTGGTCAACTCTGACATAATCCTTTAAACTATCCGAACAAACATGTTGTTGAATGCTACAAAAATTGTTATTTCTTTTTTTTTGTGCGCTGCAACAAAACTACAAAGCAAAGAGCATAGCTGAGAGAAAGCTTTGTGAATAGAAAAGTAACAACAGTTGCAACACCAACCGGCAACCGACAACAAACATGTTTACATACCACTAGAAATGTAATGCAATATCCATTGCAGTTTTTAGATAACACAAAAAACGACTATATTTATATATAGTATATTCGTAACTAAAAGTCTAAAAATTCTCCGCCTCCTCATGGTATTACAAAGTGTTTAGAGGTGAAGGAGGGGAGGGGAGGAGATAGAAGAGAAATAAGCCAAAGTGTAAGTACACACTCCAATGAATGCAAACTGAAAACAACAAAGGAAGCTGGAACAGAAGCAGCTAAAGCAGATTGACACTTTGCCTAAATTTATGGCCCGGTTAGCATTTATGTAACTATGTATGTGTTTGTCCTTAGCCAATGAAGGCTATTTTCCTGAACAATGCCAAAAGCAAAAGGTCTTCTTTGCCAAAAAAAACAGCAATGCCCCTTTCAGGCTTTAGCTTCTTTTCTCTGCTGCTGTCCATTTATCTTAAGCTTAAGATAAATTTTATTTGATATGCATAAATTTGTAGTATAAATTATTTAAATCTTTTCCTTTATAAATATCGAAAAATATGCAGATTATATTTGGAATTAATTTTAAATTTGAGAAACAGTTGTAGTTTAATATATCCTTCTTTCTTTGTCTTCTTTACAGTACCCCCAAAGGCCTGGAGGATGTCTCCTCATATCCGACATTATTTGCTGAACTATTGGGCGCCGGTTGGTCCATTGAAGATCTAACCAAATTGGCTGGTGGTAATTTTTTGCGCGTCATGCAACAGGTGGAACGAGTTCGCGATGAAAAGCGAGCAGCCGGTGTTAAACCCTATGAAGATCACCCCAACTTCCGTGCCGAAGATCCGTATAATTGTACATCCAGTTAATCGTATGTGAGCATCTAGGCGAAGTGAGAGGCGAACAAGCGAATGCTTTAAGGTTGTACAGTACCCCACAGTAACCACATAGGATTTTTTTCTTGGCTAGTACCAATAGTTATTCATAATCTCCATCATATGTCAGTGCTGTACCGGGAGTATTTATTCATCTAGTTGATGCCTGGTAAAGACAAAATACAAAAAAAAAACAAGAAAACAAAACGACAAACATTTTGTATTTTTAGCTAAGGAAGAAAATGACATACTAATTTGTTTTTGGCAAACACAATAGAATTTAAGTTTAAAAAATATTTAAGGGAAACTAATGTATATTATGAATATTTAATAGTTATATTAAAATAGAATATAAAATAACACACATATATAGAATAATTTAAAAAAACTAAATATTTTCCCATAATAAAAGAAAATGTTAATTATGGTTTCTTTGTAGTATAAATTTGTTATGATTGTCAGTTCGATGTTTTAATCTTATCTTAAAATTTAATATTCAAATATAATGCCAAAAAATAATTTAAATGACACATAGAGACATAAGGATGGATAGAGGGAATGAAAGGAAATTAAAAGTTAGTTTTTTCATGGGTGCGTATAACTATTGACATACATCATACGTAACATGACCTTAGTACCATTTTTTATTCACTTACGGATTTCATTAGATTTACAGGTTTGTTGTAATTGTATCCAAATAAAATTGCAATTTTTATTTTATTTATATTTTTCATAATAAAGAGGAAGGAATACCGCTAATAATGAAAAACAATTTCAGATAAATGACTACCAAGTGCGCGATTGCAGGACCATATCTTTCTCATAACCTCTTAGCCTCATAAATTTTGTCGTGAATTCGAACTGGTTTATTGACATAGATCTAAGATAATATTTCAGTAATCAATTGTGATTTAAATGTCCGATTTCTGTCATGATAATTTTTTAGTAAATATGGGTGCGTATATCTAATAGCATACGCATTAACAAAATGCTTTAGATATTTTATTGATAAATGATCGGATTTGTATTTCATAAGAAAGCTAAGGAGATGCTGCTAATAATGAAAAGCAATTTTTGCCAAAAGAATATCACGAGCTTTTTTTTCCTGGATCATATGTTTTTATGAAATTTTTCATAACCAAACTGCACCTTTAGTCCTCGGTAGCCTCACGAATTTTATTTTTGAGTTCATAATATGAAGCTGGGCTGTTAACGTAGACGTAACCTAATTAAATTTTGAATTCCACATTGCATTACTACAATATTAAAAAACATAGGTACGTATGACTAATGACATACATAATACGCACCCTATACCTTACCCCATGATACCAATTTCATAAGAAAGTAGAAGGTAGGCCAATAATAATGAAAAATATCGAATAAAGAGCAAACACACTAGTATCATTACTGCGTTTTTTATAGCCCAATTTCAAAGTACTCGTAGTCTCACGAATTCATATATCTTATCTTTTACGTAAACCCAAAGCAAGGAGCGGCTAAACTGGTGGAAATGAACCTCATTCGACAAGACGAATCTTCATTGAAATTCCACCACGATCTCTTACCAAGACCGTATATTTTTAACAAATTTTTCATAACCAAACTGCAATGTGGCTCACTTATGCTTCGATAAACTCACGAATTTTATCTTTTAGTTCATGAACCGAAGCTGGGCTGTTGGTGTAATCTTTAAAACGGCCTCATAGGAAGATGTCTATGTTCAATTGCGATTTAAATGGAAAATAATATTTAATATGCAATATTCTCTGTCTGGCAATTAAATTTTTATTTTCATATTGCATTTCTACAATATTAAAAAATATGGGTGCGTATGACTAATGTCATACATAATACGCACCCTGGACCGTACACCATAGTACCAATTTTTCGAATTTCGCCAACACATTTCATAATAAAGAGGAAGGTATCCTTATAATATTGAAACAAATTGAAATAAAGACCCATCACGAGTACGATTATAGGATTTTTTTATAGCCCAATGATTAAGCTGCTCGTTAGCCTCACGAATCCGTAGACCATATCTTTCACGTGAACCAAAAGGAAGAAGCTGCAAAGCTGGTGGGAATGGGCCTCATTCGACAGACGAATTTTCAATGAAATTCCAGATGCATTGAAACCAATCGTCAATTTACTTTTTCAACACCGATTAAGACAACCTCAAAACATGCCTTCGAACATTTCAAAAACTTCTTGCTGTGGTCAAAAAGTCATTAGGTGCCAAGTAAGGGTTGTATGGTGGATAGCCCATTACATTTTAGCACTTCATAGAGCTGATGTGTAAGATCTCGCATTGTCGTGATGACCAATGTTTCGTCTTCTCTCCATAGACTTCAGGCAAAGAAATTGTTGTGTACCACGTTGTTCAAGCAAAGACTTCGCTAGTTTTACCAAAGAAACAGGTTTGTATATGCTTCAAAGTCCTTCTTCTACGAAAAATTTTCGTTGGATTTCGTTTGTCTTTGAAGGCCAACAAGGTATTTTGGCGATGTTGCATCGGAATTGGCTGTAATTTGGTATTACATTTTCTCCTGAATGAATTTTCAACTCGTGATGGATGGCATAAAGTGGGTTCGCCGGCCGTACTTAACGATTTTTTGCCAAGATTAGCTCACCCCATCTGCAAACTGGAGAAACAACCAGTATCGATCTGACAACCCTGTCATAAATCCAGTAGAAGTTTCATATAACACTTAGTAGACCATTAATATGTAACTAATTATTTTAAATTTGCTCTGTAGAACCCATGGAGCGTATAATTAATATTATGCATTATACGTCCCAAACACACCAAATGTGAAATAATAGAATATTATTTTATTCAAAATATTTTGAATGTTTTAATGTGAAAAAGCAACTAAAGTTGAATATTCAACAAATCTAAACATAAATAAATGTTTTCCCATTAATGATTTCGCCCTACAAAAGCAACTCTTTATATACCTAACAGTGGGGTGTAAACTCTCATTGCACTCTGTCGAATGGCATTGGAATTAATCAAAAATTTTAATTTTTTTTTTTAATTGAATGAATAAATCCTGAAAATTTACCTCTGTTAAAATATTAATTCATTCCCATGGGTCGTATAATTATTATTAAACGTAATACGCACCAATGGGCAATTGTGCAGCATAATTAAATATTCTACAATTTTATTCATAAATATTTGTTATATTTCTATTGGCATATGAATTGAATTAATATTTCAAAACTGAAATGGGTTGAATTGTGAAAACTAAACAAAATATTTAACAAGTTGGCAAACATAAATAAAAGGTATAATTTTTCCGATAGATGCCTGAATAAATATGTATTTTCGATAGAACCAAGTGATGTGTTGGCTATGTCATGTGTATGTGTCAACTGTTACTTTTCAAATATCAATTGGTATATTTTTCAAATTCAAATTTATGACCATGGAACGTATGACTAATATCATATATAATACGCCCCAGTGAACCTGAATAAAATCTAATGTTTTTAAATATTATAAAAATTCATATTTATTTGTTGAATATTTTAAAAATTTATGACCATGGTACGTATAACTAATATTGTGAATAATACAGTGAACCCAGACTAAAAATTTATATTTTCAAATATTTTCTACATTCATATTTATTTAGTTGAATAATTTAAATATTAAAGGATAAGATTAAAACTAATTCGATATTGTACATAACAACAAGTTTTTTTACACTTTTTCAAATTTTGTTTTAGTTTGGATTTTTAACACCTTCAAATAATAAAAATTATATTTTATAATACCTCTAAATAATATTGGTTTAATGTCATTTATTGTCAAATAACCAAAAAAAAAAAAAAACAACAAAAAATACAATTATGGGAAAATAAATAAAATAAAATGTACAAAAAAAAACTAAATTCAATTTCACACTCACACAACAATGGACTACAAAATGGAACACTTACACATACGCACAATATAAACAAACAATCAAACTTTATTGACACAGTTTTTGTTCCCAAAAGCAATAAAACAAAAACTCTAAAACAATATCTACCTTATGTTGTTTTTTTTTATATTTCATTCCAAAGCCAAGCGGGCTGACTGGACCAAACAAATAAAAACCTATTTCTCCTTTATGAAAAAACCCCGAACACTGAAATAAAACTGAAATATAAAAAATGTAAAGGATTATCAAGTTTTTAAGCTGATTTCCAAATTTAAATTACAAGTTTTTTTCGAACAAGCACACTCACACAGAGAGTCTCGCTAACAATACAAATGCACCAAAAAAATAGTAATAAAATAAATAAACTTTTTGTTAAAAACCAAAAAAAAAACTCGAAACACACCTGATTTCAGTTTTTTGCTGTGGTGTAATATGCTGGACCCCAATAACAACAATAACAAATCGTTTGCAACTAAAACAATCCTCTTTTTTTAATCTTTCCAAACAAAAAAAACAAACAAAATACATATCAAAGTTTAAGTATTTTTTATAATTAATTATTTTTTCTCCGCTCTACCAAGAGAGAGAGAGAGATGCAGAAAGATTTAAATTTCAGTGGCTACCCAAATCCCCAAAGTAACACCGATTGGTTTTCTACTCTTTTTTTTGTTTTGTGACAATTTACAAATTATTATTTTTTCCTCAACAAAAAAAAACAACAATAAACAGTTATATATAAAACATAACACATACACAGACTACCACAAAAAAATGGGAAAATTATTACACTTAAATATATCGAAAATAAAAAAAAAACAAATATTGAAATAAAAGAAAAACAAACAACAACTAACTAGTTTATAAGACCCCATCGTATTAAGTGCAACATAAAGGGAATAAACAAAAAAAAAACAAGTTGTGTAAATATAATTAAGTAATTTAGTTAATTATTATTAAGAGATAATTTAAATAAATATAAATAATATACGTATAAATATATAAAATAATATAATATAGAAAAATATATGTCGGAAATAATACAATGTTGGGGTAAAGAGA